GGACGTTGTACTTTTTCAGTTAGTATCTTTTCAGTCTCAAAGTCATGCCTAACAACTGGCACATTTAATTTAAGAACATTTATGAAGTTAAGTATTGCTTCGTTTTGCTGAATGAGTCTAATACAATAAGACAAGATACAGCTAAATCTTTGACGACAACAAGACATTGGTGAACAATGCTATTCGTTACTAATAGTTTTGCTTCAAAATATCCTAAAGGTTAACAGTTCCTCATTCCACCTGTAAGACACTTGTTACTTTTACTTCAAGTTTTTAGTTGAAGTGTTGGATCATTTCTCTTTATTTGTTGCCATATATTTTCATTTAATACTGAATAATCCGACCAACTATCTATACAACCTACTACTTTTACACCATTAAATTTTAAGATTAGTGTGTGGCAGATCCGTTTTAGTTGTTGTTAAATAGTTAATGGAGGGTTTTACTTTCCCGGGAAATAAAACCTCTTTCTTCGATCCCTGCTCTCGTTTCCCTACCATTGTCCTTCGTTTCTTTGTTCCATGTTTACATATTTTATTTTCTTGGGACAATGCATAGAGAAGTGCCCTATTTGATTACAAGTATAGCATCGCGCAGTTATTTTACCGCACTTCACTATTAAAAGTTTATAGTTTATTGACCCAGCGATGCTCGTATTGTTCAGTAAATTTAAGCACATCAGCAACTAATATAACAAAATGGCATTCCAATTATTCTCGTAAATAAATGTGCAATTGTGATATATGCTTCACAATTTTTCTTTCTGTAGCTTCAGGGTTCCATAAATAAATGTCTCAACTGACTTCCCTGATTAGCGTGGTATTTCCTACAAAAGGGTTCCTTAGCTGATTCGATATTATCTAACACCAATGGATACAAATTCTCCCCAGTGTTCGAACTCGATTTCTAATCGGAAAGTCTTCCACCATTCTAGTGGTCCTCCCCTCAAACAAAAAGCCGTAGTTTCCACCCATTTATTCTTAGATACGTAAAAAGTATTTCCATGCTTTTAAGAAACTCCCCAAGATATTAAAATCCAACTTACCGTCGAACTTCTCAACAGGCAGGAGTGGTAGGCTAACTGCAATGAATTTTCCATAGGCCTATAGGTAGAATGGACTCTCGACGTTTGTGGTTGAGAGGATGGACATTTTAGCTTTTCTCGCTTTATGTTAGCATTTCCACCTGTTCTGTCAATACTGACACAAACTGCTTCAAGCTTGTTACACCAGACTCACTAACTCCCATAGTAACACAGTTATTTTCAAACACTAGTTAACTTATGTTTAACTGAACTTAAATTACTGCTGAATTAATCACTCGACACCAAATTGAGAAACAAAGAAATACAAAATCAAATTCAACCTTTATGAAAAAGGTCCCTGTTCGAGTGCCAATGTAATGTCTAAAATGAACACGCTGTTACAATCAGGGTTCAACAACAACAACAAAAAACACAAACAATTTATTCAACAATAACAACACTTAGAAATAAATTTAACACTTACCAAAACACAGTTAATAAACATGTGCCTGACCAGTACTTGATACTAATGATAATAAACTATATATGATAAATATCAATATTATATGGGATCAGGAAAAAGAACCAGAAAAACAAACAAAACTAATTCCAAAAAATACAGTAAACACAATATTCCAAAAATACCTTTCCATATTAATAACAATATCGAGTGTTAAATAGCAATAATTTGCTAACTGTATTGTTCACTAATTATCTCGTGACTCTCTCTTTTAATGAAGCTTCTGGCAGGGTATTTATTCACTGAGTAGGTCACGAGAGTACACCTCATGTGATCATAAGTTTACATAATCTTCACCGATATGGGAGTTGAGTTACTTTCATCATACATACATATTTACTCAAAATACAAATGATTATGTAGAAGGTGAGATAGCGTTTTAATGCAACTAAAAATTTATAGATAAACTAAACGATAGAAGGAAATAATAAATGAACGATAAACACAATTATAATCATTAAAAATAGAATTTGCTACCTCACAGGCTTAACGCTAAAAACCGGGTTTCAGTACCCGTTGTTGACAAAGCGAAGATAGCCCATTGTGTAGCTTTGTGCTTAATCACAAACAAGCAAACAAAAGCTACATCAAAATGTTTTATATTTGATTTGTATTAATCTGAATAAAGACGACCCCATTTTCATTAGAATGTGATGTTTTAATGAAATAAGCGCCCCCCCCCCCCAGTGGCACAGCGGAATGTCTGCGGACTTATAATGCTAGAAACCGGGTTTCGATACCCGTGGTGGGCAGAGCACAGATAACCCATTGTGTAGCTTTGTGGATAACTTCAAAACAATAAAATAAGTGTCATAAAATTTGTGACGATTATTACTTATGAACATTAAGCACGTTAATAGAATTGTACAATTGGTTGGTATACGTCGGTTTTCAATTGATTAACATGAAAATTAAAGGTAAAAGCTATCCCGAATGTATAATAGTATTATATCTAAAAAAAAAGAAGGTTAACTATAATAACGGGGCCGTATCTATTGAGTTAGATTGGAGGTTTGAATATTATATAATCATAACAACAACAAAAAAAAAAACATGAAAGCGGCTAGAGGGCACATCTGCTGTAGAATGGCAATAAAAATAGAACATTCAAAATTGTATTTGTTTTGTAGCCATTGCGGGTATCAAAACCCAATTTTTAGCGTTTAAGTCACCAGTCTGATTTTTTGAGCCACCAAGAGGATACTATGTTTTTTAGAATATTTTTAATGTCGTCATGTAAATTTATATACGATAGGTAAAATAGTCAAAGGAAAGTATTTTAATAAATCCTTTCCAGATCACTAAATAAATTATTACGTGGAAGAAGAATATAAGTTCTTCTCGTATTCTAACGGTTAGTGACACAGTTCTTAGTTTCATTTAGTGACCGAAAGTTAAGAAAGGGTAACCATTTCTACGATTGTTACATTTTCATGTTGATTTGAGAACGAGGTAAACTTTACAAATTTTGTCAGATATTACTCTTGTAAAAATATATCCATCCATTCATCTTTGCCCCCCAGTAGCACAGCGGTATGTCTGCGGATTTACAACGCTAGAAATCGGGTTTCGATACCTTTGGTGGGCAGAGCACACATAGCTCATTGTGCAGCTTTGTGCTTAATTAAAAACAAACAAACCATTCATCTTTTTATCCATCTGACATAAAGTTTCTCAAAGTTTCATAAAATATTCCAGAAATAAAAAGGAGAAATTTGAGATGCTATGTTTTAATTAGTGTGTTTAGCCCACACCTACGTTACGTTAACCGTAACTTATCTAGTTTTATCTGCTTTGGATTAATGTCAGCTTGATTTCTATTATATATATATATATTATCGATTTTCAAAAAATACAACTTAAAAGGCATTAAGATGAAAAATGCATATTTGTACTTGGCAGAATAAGTGTTATGTATAATTTGGAATATTTAGTAAAAATATTTACGAGTTCACCTTTGTATCTTTCCCGATGATACTGTCTGAACACATGAAACATGTTATAACCGAAGCTCCACTGTATTCAGTCTCTTTAAAGTATGGCACAAGTATTTGATGACCAAGGTAACCAAATACGGACCATTTCTTTTGTTCAGTACGTAACCTATTAACACCAAGAATGGTGATTTAATTTATGTTGAAAGAATATTAAAACCCACCAGTTACACGTAAATCTGTACACCAATACCAGTATTGTATGGAAAAAAAGCGATATTATAAGAAACACAATGTGTGACATTTCTTTTTTAGAAGATTACATTGTTAATTAATGCCTAATAATAAAGATACTTCTAAAAATTAGCTACGTCATCTGTTAAAATTTTCACTTATAGTTCCCACAAGGATATGACGCATGAAACGTACGACGTGAGTCGTCCTTACTTGTTAACCTTGGTTGGAGATGTGTAGAAACATCATTCTAGTAGGTGTTGCATTATGCTACAGTTTACATGTTACTATATTAGAAGTTCTTTCAACGTATTTGTGATAAAACTAATAAAATGAGAATTCTTTAATTCAAAACTCATAACATCATGTATATTATATTTTATTCTTTAGCTTTAACAAAAATAGAAATGAAACTCCCAAATAAATAAACATACTGAACGAAATCAATAGATTTTTAGTATCTAAACATAAATAACGTAGAAATTAATGTCAGGATTAGATAGCTATTCAAATAAATATTAAGCTTTAAAAGTTAAAAAGTAAATTGTTACGTTGTGAAAAGATGAAATGTAGTAAAAATAATTTGTTGCTAAAAAATCTGATAGTATAAAGGTATGGTTTAATGATATTGCATAAAATCATTAATTTGTATCTTGCTTTACTGTAGATTATGGTACAAAGTCTAACGAAAGATTACCTTACTAAAGAAAGGTTACAGTTGGTAAACACGGAGATATTTTTGGAATAGAACATAATGTAATCTTACAACTACAGTAAGTATAAACTCTTATTCTTTTAGTTTGATTATCTGTTTCCACACTATTTGGTGATCCATCAATTTAAAGATCTCAAATTTCTCGTCAGATAAAACTTAATAGTTTGAGACTGAGCAGCAATATAAAATCAGATTACTATGGATGAAATATCTATATACTTTTAAACGTGTTGCTTATATAAACAAATTAATAACTGATAAATATTACATTCATGTAAATGTAATTATATTTTTGTCTATAATATTTTTCATAATTATTATATAGAATATTTAATCAAAACTGATGAAAAGTAACAAAAAAGCTCGAGTTATTTTCAAGATAAACTATATATTTTTATTTTGTTTTGGTTAGATTTGTAGACTTATGAGCTGCGGGATGGTGGGTCTGTAGATGCATACAGACTTCTAAGTTTATTAAATAGTTCTTCCCGGATGCAGGACAACCAATGCATGAGAAGTAGAGAAAGTAGCGTCCCCAAGCGGTGGTTTCTATATGTGTTATAGTTTAATTTGAAACTACGTTAGCTACTCTTGACGATAGCGTAAAGAGATGTAATGGTTAGTACGAGTAGTTTGTATAAGGTTACAACTCAGGGTTGAGTTTCATCAAGGAATGATATAACTGTCAGTGTTTGATTAGGTTTTCTTGAAGTCTAGTAAAAAGACTAATGTCTTGTCATAAACGTTATGTTTCTCGTCAACTTGAAATCGAGGCTCGTGCCATTGTACGCCACGCGCCCTGAAGACTGGCATGGCTGTCGGTGATGGGACGCTAACTTACCAGCTGCTCCTCACGACTAACCCTGCCAAACGTTAGTGCTTACCATCGGCTGCGTGTCTATAGTCAACTAACTCACGCTAGAGGCGCCTCGACGTCGCTCGGGCAACCTGTCGACGCTGTCAAAAAGAGTAAGGTACAGTGGCTGATCCGTTGTGCTTAAAAGTTCAGAATAAAACCAGTACAGTTTAGGGAATGAACGTGAATCAGTGGCATATAACGTATATAACTACAGAAGGCCACAGGATTTACAGAACTTGTGTGGCAGTTTATTCGTTTGGATACACACACACTGGAACATAGTAGTGGATTTGTAGACTGGATTGTTAAGTTTGTTAAAATCTGATACTTTATCATCTATTTACTAGTTTTACTGTGAGAGTAATATGAATATTTTAAGTTCGGTAGTGTTAAGATAAAGCATATATTGTGTAGTAATTTAGTTAATTCCTGTGAATAACCTAGCCTGAACAGGAAGGGCTGGCCAATATCTTTGAATTATAGAAAATAGAAAGAATATCACACACACTCTCTCTCTTTAAGTTTAATAACAGAAACGATTGTTGAAATAGTCCCAATTGTGGGGCCACTACAGGGAGGAATGGGGGACATCTTACCCCCGAAGAGGCAGGCAGTGGTAGACCGCTTACGTCGTCGAATTGAACTCTACAGGCGCAAACAGAATGGGTCCTTAATACGTTATGAACAAACTTCGAATGGTTGGAATCATCAACAACGCCAAGACACGATTTTTTTAAAACAACGATACTTAGAAACTAAAGCTAAGAAAGCCAAAAAAAATGACAATAAAAGTACGAAAGATGGTTTGGGCACAAATTCAGAGAATGCAAGAAATGTACTTTCGGTAAGTAATGTCATTACTAATAAGTTATCATTTTAAGCAGGATCTAGCACAACACGATTTAACTTAAAAGTCACAATTAATTTTTTTACCACATATGTAATGTTCAATGTTAAAAACTCAATTTTATACTTAAACATTTCAGTAACTAAAGCTCAGTTGAACATTGTTGATAACTAAATGCTCTCTAAGTTTTAACATTTATTATAAAACTGAATTCATATGCATACTGAACTTATCTTTATTTACAAGCTATTGTATATAGTTCCATGTTCTGATTTGAATAGTATTTTATAAATTCTAGTTTTTGCAAATACAACTGCAAATTTGGTGAATTATTATTTTGATCCCTGTTTTTTCTTTAAAACAATAAAAACATTTTTTTAGATAGATCATTATCAGTGAACGAAATAATTTGAAAAGTTTTATACGATTAATTTTGAAATGATGAAATTTTATACTTGAGTTGCAAAATCGTTGTATTTATCCAAAGCGATTTAAAAAGAAATAATTGCTCCCAGCGTTTCTTCTTATACCATTCTATTTATGGAGTTTAAAAATACCACAGAATTATTTGTAAATAATTTTACTGTATAGAAAATACCTTTATTTAATGTTATGCCACAATTTATTAGAATAACTCGTATTTTTGAGACTTAGACCCAAGTATATAACTGTCTGTAGAAAAAGAAGGACGAGATAACTCCTTGTTTGATGATAATTTTTCCATCAATAGATAAATTAGCTAAGGCTTGAGAAAGGCACTTATATTTTAGTTAAGCACGTGTAACATCTAAAATATGTATTAATTTTGCACATCAGTCTTCACAATTTTGTACTTGATGTTTCTCATTACACCTGTCCAAAAGTTGAAACAAAGATTAAAATACCGAAATTTAAAGGGCAGTTTAAAGATAGCTGGTGAAGCATTAAAAAGGAAAACACCTAGCATTTATGATAAAAATTAGGTAAACTGAAAATGTTTAGTTTAATAATATGTCAAACGAAGTAATTTCACCGATATGAATGAATCCTTCTACTTATTCTGTAAAATTTTGCCTCGCATGACTTGGTAGTTAAGGCACTCGTCTCGCAATCTGCGGGTCGCTGTTTGTATTCCATACTGAACATGATAACCCTTTCAGCTGTGGGTTGGTAAAAGTAAAGTTGGCGGTGGATGGTATTGACTAGCTGCCTTCTTTGTGTAGTTTATCACTTAAAAATTATTAATGGCTTGCACATATATCTCCCTACTAGTTTTGTGTGAAATTCACCAAATAAACAATTTTTCTGCAAAGTTAAGATTTGTTAAAACAAATTCCCCGAAAAATTCTGCACCCTATCTTGTTAACTAAAATAACAAAATAATAGACGGAACATTAGAGAATATTTGTTTTACCATTAAATTTTTTTAGCTTTTTGTGATTTCCTTTTTGTATAAGTACTTTCAGGTAAGTGGGAATTGAATAAATCAGTATTTCTGGTGATACTTGACCCTTAACCTTCAACAAGCCTCTCTATAATTTCCCATAGTTGTCCAGCATCACTGACAGTTTGTTGCTGCTCCTTCCTGAAGTCATCCAGTGTTTTTGGTATAGTTACTTCATAGCTTATATATTGATTAAAGCATTACCGATTGCTGTCAAAAATTTTTGTTCTTTTATATTCATTGTTTATCGTGATAGAAAACATTATTAATACCTTTAACAGAAGAGCACAGGGGGAAATCTGAAATTACTGTACGTTTCATCACAACGACTTGACATATATTGGACGTCAAGAGATTCTCAAGTATCAACCGGAATATGCTAAACATTTTTGTATCGGTTTTTGTTTTGGAAAAATATAGTCATATGTATCTGCTTTCAACACAATTGTTTGAGGATTAAGCAAACTCTCAGACTTGATGATTCATTGGAGAAATACGGCTCATTTAATTGGAATAACTTGCTTACGAACTCGTTTTAAATTTAAACTGGTCAATTTTCTGATATTTTTATTCTTACGGATTGAAAACATAATCTGTCTCAAAACGGCTTTGTAACTTCACGGGTCGAATATTTCACGAGTCTCACAGTAATTAAACCACTAGTACTTTTATTTTCTAACTCTTGTTAATGCAATGCCTTTTACAGCATTGCTAGCTTCAACTGGGATAGCAGTATTTGTATTTTCCCCAAAAAACAAAAATCCTGATTTAATCATGTTGATATGATTCAAAACATAAGTCAAGAATGAGATCTATTAGGAAATCATGAAATGCATAATTACGAAGAATAAACAGCAAATATTTATATGGTAAACCAAAATGATACATTACTACACAACAAATCTTTTCCCAGTTTTCAAGGGTTTAGTCTTTATTTTTTCTCTCAGAATAATATTTGTTCACGTTATTTTCTTATGCAACACAAATGGAGACATAATTTTCCCACTAAGCCTATTTCACTTTTTGCTTTTTTTCCCTCTGTATTACAGTTTTGGGGATTGAAGCTCCTTTTTGAAATGTTGTATGATGTTAGCTGAGTTGTTTTTGTCACGGGCAACATTGTAATTTTATAAATATACTAAATATCCTTAAAGTGCTGTCTGTAGTACACATCACACGATAAAACCATGAGACTTTAGATTAAAATACTAATTTTTCTCAATGTTTTGCTTTTTCTGTATTTTGACTTGAAGTAACACACCCATTATCTGTTTAAAAAAGGGTACAGTTATCAGAGAGCTAAGTAGCGTCAATACAAGAAATACATGTACAAAAAGGACTCGAGCATCTTTTCTCGGCCAATCGTTCCACTCCGAACACATTTTCAGAGAGTAGGGTAGAACAATCGAGTACTGTAATTCTTTCTAGAAAATACTCAAAGAAGCCACCAGTGAACTACACACTTTGTGGTTTTAGAAAGTATCCTTCTATGATCAGAATTTACAAACGTTACATTTATAGAGTGTTGAAGGGAGGACAGAAACTTGTTCAAAATATACTCCTCAATATCAAATACTTTAGTAATGTCATCAAAATCGAACTTTTCATTACACTGATATCCGAAAAGTAGCCAAAGTTACTGAAAGATTTAGATCCAGGAAATGTTATGTAAATAAGATATGAAGCAGGACAGCAAAGGAAAAACGAATAAACCTAAGTTAACATTCTTTACAGCGTTATGTAGTTCGTCGTACCTTCTGACCGACTTAAAGCTTTCCGCTGTGACAGTCACTGCTGGGGTAAAAAGAAAACTTTTGGAATACGTGTGAACAAGACAGAAACTGCATCATCAGTGTGTGCAAAATATCAACGGAAGCTAAAAGGTTTCACTGGAAGAAATGCACATTAACTTTTAATTAAGAAGTTTCTTGTTTGTTTGTAATTAAGCACAAAGCTACACAATGGGCTATCCGTGCTCTGCCCACCACGGGTATCGTAACACGGTTTCTAGCATTCTAAGCCCGCAGACATACCGCTGTGCCACTGGGGTGCATAATAAAAAGAAAAAAGCAGTTAAATTATACTGAAAGTTTCAAATTATACTGAAAGTTTTAAGCTAAAAGAAGAAAAAAAAAACAGTGTAGAGAAGAGATAAGCATCAGCAAACTACACAGATATTTACTTAACAAAGTGTATTTTAGTTTGAATACATTTATAATGAACTATATCTGACTTTATGTATTGAAATAAAGAATGATTGAAATATCCAGCCTTTATAAATACATTTTACAGTGCTGTTACATTAGTAAGTGCATGTTTAAGTTTAATATATATATGTGTGTGTGTGTGTGTGTGTATAACTATATATATATATATAAACTAGTACTTCATTGTAAATGTTTAAGGTATTGTGTTGTTTTTCTCTGTGCTTTGCATTTGTTACGTTTTGTAAAGAGAATGAGTGTTTCCTTCCTAAGAAACTACATGGACAAAGACTTTATGATTCTCATATCCTGTCACCGTTTCAACACCCACTGTTTTGCTCCAGGAAAATATTATCGGCCTGATAATGATTTCACCATTCGTTTTCTTTTCGTTACTTGTTAGTGTGCTTTTGTAGTGCAGGGCTGCATAAAATCTAATGTTTGAACAACGTAGATTCTGTAAAATAGCTTTAGATTTTCCAGTTAGTTTTACCTTGTTGTATGATGATAAAAGAGACGATATGATTACATTAGACAAAAGTTTTTGTTTGGTAAATTAGTGCAGGTTATGAGAATGTTATCATGTAAAACATGCCTTTTCAACAATGTGTACCAGGCAACTGAACTTTTCTTCAACCTGCCATAACATGTCGTAAGGCTGCCTGTACATTACAAGTAAGAATGATGCGCTAAACTTGGCCTCAACCTTTACTGAGCTTTTCACGTTGATGGATTTTATAATCCACTTGACTTGCTCGAAGTTCAGATTCAATAAATAAAGCTTATGTATACGTATGTGATGTCCAGCTGTGTAACGAGGAATTCGATATATTATCTATGTCAGCATATTGTAAAATACTAGCATTGCAATCTAAACTGTTTCAACAGATTTCTTTATGGCACTCTTCTTCTTCTTCTAATATTCTAATGTTTAATCCAGTTACTTGTGATATTTCATGTCACTTAACGAGCCCTCTTTCGTTTTTTAAATAATGTATTTTACGACAGAGTGATATAAGCTGCTTTAAGGGCTCTTGCAGCTACAATTAAAATTTAAAGATTCAATAGCTTACATATAATAGTGTTGGAATTAATATATGCATATTTGGGATACATTTTTTGTGATTGATTATCGTAATTTCAAGAGCCACGAGAAATGTTTCAAAACTTTTCCTTCACTGTTTTAACCTTAAATATATTACTTACGGGACATTAAAACATCAATTACGAATATTCATGACTGAAGTAGTAAAGTTGTAGTCTTGTGTTTGTCATGTAGAAATTTGGGCAAAGCCGTATGAAAAACTATTCAACAATATTAATTTGAATACTACTATATACAAAATAGTCTAATTCGTATTACATAAGGC